TGGTTGCTAAGCAAGAGTGTTTGGTTGCTAAGCAAGAGTTTCACCACATTTTACAAGCTGGCCACTCCCACCCAGTCACATGGCTGGCAAGCCACTCCCATCCAATCACATGGCTAGCAAGTCACTCCCACAAAGCAGGCCACACCTACAGAAGAGATTCTAAAAAGTTTTGAAACCCACCACTGCAACTGTGGGGGATGGGGGGGAAATAAACCAGGAAATGCCAGAAATGAGTGCAAAAAGCAGTCCTTGTTTTGCAGACATTCTAACAATATCACTTTCCTGAAGGACTAATTGTGATATTGTGATTGTAAGTTAATCATTACTTCAGACCATATGGCTGAACTGAGTCAAGTCAAGATAGCCTACAACAACCTACATTGCAGACAGTCCTCAAGTTACGACCACAACCGAGCCCAAAATTTCTGTTGCTGAATGAGACATTTGTTAAGGGAGTTTTGCCCCATTTTGCCACCTTTCTTGCACAGTGAATCACAGTAGCTGATCGCATAATCTCGGGACACTGCAAACCGTCATAAAAATGAACCACTTGACAAGGATCCGAATATTGATTATGTGATCATGGGGATGCTGCAAATGTCATAAGTATGAAAGATGGTCGTAAAGTCGTTTTTTTTTCCAGGGCCATTGTAACTTCAAAGGGTCACTAAACAAATGGCTGTAAGTGGCAAAGGTAAGGTACAGGTAAGGACTACCTGTAGTTCGGATTTCATGACATACCTGGCTATATTTAAGATGAGCTGTAAGAAAACATGACTAAAGACCTTGCTGAAGAACAGTCTCGATTCAGAAACTAAGCTGAACTACAGTATGGGTTAAAAAGGTAAAGGTTCCCCTTGCACATACATGCTAGTCATTCCCAACTCTAGGGGGCAGTGCTCCGTTTCAAAGCCAAAGAGCCAGCGCTGTCCGAAGACGTCTCCGTGGTCATGTGGCCGGCATGACTCAACTCCAAAGGCACACAGAACGCTGTTACCTTCCCACCAAAGTGGTCCCTATTTTTCTACTTGCATTTTTTACGTGCTTTTGAACTGCTAGGTTGGCAGAAGCTGGGAGAAGTAACGGGAGCTCACTCCATTATGCGGTGCTAGGGATTCGAACTACCAAACTGCTGACCTTTCTGACTGACAAGCTTAGCGTCTTAGCCACTGAGCCACCGCGTCCCTTATAGTATGGGTTAGTATACTTCTAAACCAGGTCACTAATGGACCAAGGTTACGTTTATTTTAAGAGAGGATTTATTTATAAAGCTTGCATGGTCCTGTTTCAGGGAAGGCATGGAGATATTTAATACCGCCTTCCTACAAGCCTTGGTATTCTAGATTCACATCGGAGCCTTTACATCAACAGACAGTGCTATAAAATTGGGGAACTAATGGGGAGAAACTGAATTTCAACAAGTCATTGGAACACATAAAAAGGCACGGAGAAATAAGCTGTTTGATCGGGCTTTCAATCCTGAACTGCAATAGGGGGAGAGGCTTTAAAATAAATATCCGTCCATTGATCCGGCTGTTTTTCATGGGCAGTTTATTCTGCCCTGCTTAGAGTTTTTAATTGAATTTGACAATACACAATAAAAATTGACCCAATTCTCTGCACAGGCAAGGTCAGTTTCAACATTTTTATCTGTTCCTTAGATCTCTTGTTCTTTTTTGACTGGAATTCTGCCAGAGATGATCTTGGCAACATCTACAAGAGAACTATACTTCACAAAAGTTTAATTTTTTAAAAAAAATCTATTAGAAGCTTGGAAGGAACAGATCCGTGGAGAAAGTTATGGAAGAGGGGATGCAAGAAAGAAGCCGGAAATTTAAAAGAAAAACACAACCACCAATGTTTTACATGCGGAGGTGAAACAGGTTTGGGTTTACACACAGGACAATCCTATCAAGTTCAGCTTAATGTCCCATGATGACAGCTGTGGAAAAACTAGCTTTAAATGATGCTGGAGCAACAACAAAAAAAGGAAGGGAAGGGATAAAGCCCTTAAATCAGTCAAAATCAGAGATGGGATTCAGTCAGTTCGGACCGGTTCAGGTGAACCGGATGTTAATTTTAATCTGGTTCACTGAACCAGTAGTTGCAAGGACTGGCTGACCCCCATCCACCCTGCCTTGCCCCTCCCAGGAATCTCCACAGGGCCCATTTAGGATGCCAGGTAAGTGCAGAGCCCATGCAGAGGCTCTGGGAGGGTGCAAAATGGGCCTACCGGAAGTACTGGAATTCAGTTCACCGACAAAAGGGCGAACGACAAAACCGCGCCCAACTAAACCGTGTTGCTGACGTCATCAACAGGGCAACAACAGCGCAGAGACAGAAGCACGCTGTAAACCCTAAACCTAAACTTAACCCCTAACCCTAAACCTAACCCTAACCCTTAACCTAACCCTAAACCTAACCCTA